GTGACTTGATGAAGCTTCCCCGGGTGCAGGTCGATGGCAACTGCTGCTGCTGCTACTCAGCCCGCAGGCTTGTTGGAAGATGTTACAGCGCAGCGGTTCATCAGGTTTCAGTTTGGCGCAGGCAACCTCACTCGTGCTGAGGGCAAGGCCACGGGACGTTGAGGGGGTGTAGCAGCGGCATGCTTCCAGCATGCTGCTGCAGACGCTTGACAGGTCATCCGCTGCTACGTTGCCCGAGCCGCCCCAGATGCAGGAGCGGGTTCACGCGACATCACGCGACTATGCGACTAGCTCGAGTGGTGTCGCCGGAACTGCAGGAAGAGCAGGTCTGTGGCTCCAGTTGTGCGATGGCGAAGGCATCTGGCTGAGCCGTTGTCGAGGAAGTTCTAGACTCTAGACCCGTACCTTTCAGGATTTTGCGAAGCGCTTCTGCAACCGCCTGCGCTGCAGCAGACGCCTCTTGCCTGCGATGGGTTTCCTGCAGGATGCCCCTTCCTTTACTGACCTGGATTGCTGAGGCTGGGCGCGGGAGACTTGGACAGCCTATTGGCGAGACCCTGAGAAAAGCTTGCTGGAGGTGTTGAGGCCGAGCCTGGCAGTATCTCCAGGGCCGAGCTCGACAGCTCCACGGCTTTTTCCGACTCGCGCAGCAAGGCCAGTTGGTAGCACATTTGCCGGATGCGGCCGATACAGAGTCGAGCGCTGCCTCGTGCAGGTGACACCTTTCAGATCGAGTCTTTCCGCCAGAGTCCCGGCTGGGGGTGTGTAGCATGGAAGTGATGGACTAAAGTCGCCCGGACGGCTGACGGCGCTAACGCATGGCGGAGAAATGGGAGGGGTGCAAGGCTTGAGGATAAGACGTGCAGAGGGAGCAAGTGTAATCATTTCCACAGTCTCGCAAGTGGAAGCTTTTGTCGCTTTTCCCAGTGTGGGAGAATTGAGGTCGAAGCCCCTCGGCAGAGGAGTTGGACAAGCGATTGACTGACACTCCAGAAATCCCGTACCGAGACCCCAACGAGGGGGCGTTGCAGTCAGCAAACAGAAACACTGTTCGATGATGAGGTCGGCTTCCTGGCAGCTTGTGATTTTTCTTTTGACCTAAAGCGCAAATTTGTTTTAGCTGTGTGTCCGTATGATTCGGCTCGAAGACGGATGGTGGCGCCTCATTGACGGGGCGACATGCAGAACCAAACATGGGGGGGCAGTTCGCTGCCATTCCTGGCTGTTGGCCGGGTCAAGGCCGCGGCTGCATGTGAGTGGGGGGGGGGGGGTCCTGAGCATTGTGGCAAGGATAGCGTGACGCTGGCGTACTACATAGATCCAGAGAGCGTGGAGCAACAGGTCAGCGCTGTACTCAGGTTGGTGTCCTGGGGTCGTGCCCTGTCTGTCTAGGAGCAGACCCAGGAAGTTTTCCAGAAGCTCCTCAAGGCCAGGCCTCAGAAACGAGCTGCACTGCGGAAGGAACTGCCATCTTGGTTTCAAGCATTCCTGCAGGCTTCATCCCAGAAGCTTGCAGCTGGACAGAGAACTAGACTGCAGTGGAACAATGGCAGCGCCTGGCCCCTAGCTGTGCAACGCCTCATCATGAAAGTGGCTGTTGGTCTCTATGACTCCGACACAGGTTTGCTGCCTCATGGACGAGCAGGCTAGACTTCTATACTGTGTTGCCCCGGCCTCGCTTGCCCATAATGCTCCACGAACTGTCTCTACGGTGCACCCCTGGCATGAGGTCACATCGCTATTGACATACCCCGAGCGACAAGCTTATCAGCTCCTGTACGGTCTTCCTGGCTTTGATATTATCCGTTCAGAAGCCATGTGTCTGCCCACCACCCACGCCAGATTTCCGCGGGTTGGTCGAGAGAGATGACGCCAACCTGGACGAAGCTGAGAAGCACGCGCTGAACGAGAAGCTGGCAGAGCAGATGAGGGATCTGGTCAAAAAGTACGAGGGATTTCAGGCTGTGGGAATTGCGCACCGAGCTCTGTCCTTTGGCTGCAGACGTCTTGGAACAGGACCCCAGCAAGCTGTCCTCAACCAACACTCCCTCTGTCATGGACACCTCTTCCGCCGCGACCCTACACGGAGTGAGTCAATCTGCCCTGTCTCGGCCCCCCAATCCTCCGAGGCGCCGCTGCATCATCAAGACGAGAGAGATCTCCGACAAGCAGAGAGCAAAAAGTCATAAGCCCAAATTTAAACAGGAATGAGCTGAAGTGTCTTCAATTCCCTGCCCGGCACCCAGCCCCAGGTGGATCTTCGTCGCGTTGCTGGTTGTCCCTGCTCGGTTCATCGGTCGCGACATGCTTGTTGCGATCCCCATGGCAGCCAGGTTCTGGTCATTGTGCTCTTTCTGATGTGGCTCTTCGGGGTCTTCGGGGGGTGCGCAGCCCAGAGTGCAACTTGAACTCCAAAATTTTTGGTCTTGGTTGCCCCTTAGATGGCGGATTGCTAAGGAGCAAGCCAGAGGAGACAGGAACAACGACGGCAGCGGCTACACAGCTGAATGCAATCCTGATGTGAACATTCGCTGGACGAAGTAAGTTCTGCGGCAGTCATGGTCCTGGAGAAGCAGCCAAGCGCTGCCAATGAACACTCCTTTCCCGGCATGCTGTGTTTTGCCCTGAGCTGTTTCAAGGTTGTACCGTATCTGATGTATCTGTCGTTCTGCAAACAGCTCCCGGCTGGTAGTGCTCTCATTCACAGAGCTGAAACCTTGCTGCGATGTGGGCACTCATGTTTGCTTAGCAAAAGAATAATCCTGAGCCACCGCAATCTGTGCGGCAGCAGGCGCAGTGTGCCAGGCTTCCGCCCGCATCTCCGTCCTTGAGCCCTTTTACAGTTCAAGGTGTACAGCTTATCTTGAACGGGCAGCTACAGGATTTCATTGGCCGTGCGCCAACAAGGCCTGGCCTGCACCTGCAAAGGGTTGTCTAACCTGGCATGTGCGAAGACCAGGACTCCGATGTCCTGGTCTTGCGATGTCTTGCGTTTCTTTGCACAGGCGCATGCCAGATGCAACCACATCGACAAGCTGGCGTATGCCACGATCTTCGCCAGGCATTCTGAGACCGGTGCCACCTGTTGGTGGCCTCGGGTGGCCACCCTTAGTCACAGTCAGGTCGCCAAAGTGCAGCGACGTGGGCTTCATTTTCAAAGGCCTGGCAAATTTTGCAATCCGTTTAAATTCAAGATGGTGGCAGGTCTAAACAGCCTCACATTCTTTCAGTCGCATGACCAGTCGACGCAAGATTTCTCCAAACGATGATGCCGTCAGAACTCAGATTCGGGGGTTCCAGGCTACCTCAGTGCTTTTCACGCTGTCCACAAAAAACAAGCTAATTGCGACCCATCTTCGCAACAAGTGTTGGTAGAGCAACGTGGCGTGCTAGTTGACTCAGAATGCTGCCGTCTGGGTCTTTGCCTGTGCCATCACCTGATTTGCTGGCTGTGCTGCAGCAGCGCCAGCGCCAGCGTGCAGATGCCAGTGCCAACAGTGCAAGCAAACGTGCCTGTTGTAAATGCTGGTGTGGACTTCCTGGTTGCCGTGGTTCGTCAACTCCAGAAATGGTCACTTACAAGGCGGACTCCGCTGGCTGTGACTGCCGCGGCTGGCTGCGCACAGTTCTTTCCTTGCGTGGACGCCCGGTTTTACATTCTTTACCTCCTTTGCTTGCGGTCTTTGCGATGGCGATGGCTGCAACCATGGTGAAAGAATCCAATCTGATCTTTGGCCATCAGTGGGAGCTTCCAGAGTTAGAAGCAACTCTCAAAGAGGACTACGCGCTGCTGCTGACTCCCTTGACATTTTTGCTGGTGTACCGATTGAACCGGTCTGCAGTTAGATTCTATGATGCACGAGCTGCGGCAGGAAAGCTCATTGAAACATGTCGGGTGCTTGCTGGCGAAACAGTCCGCTTTTGTGCGCATGATCCTTGGGCTTGTGACGAGGTTTGTCGATGGGTTGTAGCATTTCCTGCAGCGACAAGGAACTTTCTCCGAGGGCATTCCCGCCTAGATGACGTCGAGGGCATCCTATCGAGCTCTCAGATTCTTGCCTTAAGCAAGGCCCCAGTACAGACACTCTTCTGCTGTGATCGGATGCGGCATGCAGTGCTGAAAGCAACTCGGAGCAACTTGACAGATCCTGCACCAGTGTCTGCTGTGATGCTGCAGACACTGGAGGGCCATATATCCACACTTACAGGCGCCATGGGTGCGATGGAAAGGATTAACAACACCCCACTTCCATTTGCATATGTGGCACATCTGCGCACCTGTTTGACTCTTTACTTGCTTGGGCTACCATGGATTCTGCAGATGAAATCCTGGTGGTCAGTACCGATGGTACTCTTAATCAGCTACGCGCTCCTGGGAGTGGAAGCAGCAGCCGTGGCCTGCGAGCGCCCGTTCCATGACCAATCGAATCACTTGCCTTTCAACGCCTTTGCCGCCGTGGTTGCAGACAATGTGCAGCAAGTCCTCCAAGATGCAGCTGACTTCCCCAGCGATCTGCTGGCAACTCACGGAGGCCCTGAGCCTGAAGACAAGTACACGCTCTAAGGCCCTGAGCTGTCGAGTCTGTAGAGTACAAATTCATGCATGTAGTCCTACTGAGAGCGGCACGCACGGTGCCGGTTCCTCTTGTGCTGCATTGCAGCATGCCCGTGTTCGATCCGAAGGAGTGTAGGGTTGCTCACCCTTGGATACTGTACAGCAAGTGCACGGCTTCGGCATTGATGCAAAAGGCCTGCAGACTGGTCGGCTGGTTAATAGAACTGACTTGCAAAGGGCTCGGGCTCGACTTTGAAGCTGCCGCCTCAGCAACTGCCGCTTACATGAAGATCTGCGGTGTCTCTCTCCTGGGAACTCAGGAATTCAAGAGCAAGCGCTGGTGGCAGAAAGGCACCCTGATGTCACGTGCAACGCTTTTTGGTTGTGTTTCTGGCCGAAGCTCCCATGAAAGGAGTTGACCTCCACATGGTCTCCTGGAAGTGCCCATGGGCATAGCCATTTTCAGGAGCCAGTTGATTTAGCACTTTGCATGACGGACTGCTCTTCACAGAGGATTTGCCGAGAATTTCAGAGCAAATCAGGGCTTTCGCCCCAGCTGTGTCGAAGTGCTTTTAGTGGCGTTGACTCGCGGGCGCCTGGTGTAGGTGTGCGTCAGAATACGTCCGCTCACATCTGATGAGGCGAGGCGCTGAGCACAGATGGCAATCTGCACATGTAGCACCTGCATAGGCGAACAACGGCGAGCTTCCAAGCATTGTTCCGGGTCCGCAGGCGCCTACCCGGGACTTATGCACCAGTATGTCCCTGTGAGGCTGCAGATATTTTGCAAGTGCTTGAAGGCCCGAGACTTGCGCGAATCTCCAGTCAAGGAAACTTCTCCCATCTTCCCCTCTTTCGCTCTCAGTCTAGCGCCTTTGAAGCTGATGGGTGCAGCTTGTGGAGCACCTTGTACAGACAACTTGGACGCATTCAATCGTGCCTGCATCGAGCAAATCCAATACTCGAGGCAGCTGCGCCACACGGAGCAGGAAATGGTGTTTACCCACAGGCTTGAGGACTCCTTGAAGCGATCTATGCGCACGCGTCGCTGGATCTCAGACGATGGAACCGGCGAGGAGTTGGACAGGCTTTCGCGAGAGCTGTTCCTGTTGCAAGATTTGGATGGTGACGGACTACTCGGGGAAGATGAGCTTGTGCAGATCAACCTGACCATTGCTGTGCTTCACCATGGTGACGGTGCTGATCTGGTTAAAGTCGAGGATGCATACAGAGCCATGTTCCGCGAGAAGCTCAATCCAGACGGACAAGTGGCCCGGCTTCGCACCAGTCATGGCCTTGTTTGATTGCTGCTCCATTCGTCTGTCAGCTTGCTCACCTGTGCTGAGGCCATCCAATTTGGCTGCTTTCGGAAGCATCTGCGTGGTGTGCTGAACACTCTTGACACAGATGTTCTGGCACAGAAAATGATCCTTGAACAGTTCGTTGCTGAAGCAGCAGTTGCCCGAGAAGTTCGATCGCAAGAGCTCGAGGCCCTTCATCAGTCTGGATTGACGTTCATGTGCTAGAGAATGCTTCTGTCACTGCAGCAGCTTTGTGTCGAATTCGTGCTGTGCTTGTAATTCGCTGTAGCACGCAGATTTGCTGCTATGCTTACCAGCCGAGAATTCAAGCAGGAATTGAAATTCTTGTACGCCGGAAGACGACCTTGGAAATAGTCGTAGTCGCCATTCACCAGTCTAAAGAAGATAGTTACAGATGGTTTCCCTGCATTCGTTTGCATCTCCGGCGGTGCAAGCTGAAATTCAGCTGGCAGGGTCGTAGCTTGCGCAGTTGCCGGCATTCTGACGGCTCTGTAACTACTGTTGGCTTACTGGAAAAAGGGTCGCCCGCAGACTGTGAAAGGACGTTCACCCTCGACCGTCCGAGTGAGTCCTAGTGCAGGGAAGCGGGCTCTTGAAGCTGCTGCTGGTTGAGTCCATAACTTCAACAAGCAGGAGCCACATGTCTTTCTGAGCCGAATTTGCGTTAGATGTTCCTTGGAGATGCGATGGGTTCCGCTTAGCTCCTCAGCCAGGATGAAGCGTGCCTCTCAATCAAGCATGTTTCAAAGCTTCTCGAGCTTGTCCAGGACGATGCGGGGAGAGTTTTTCTGTGCATGTCCGTGTGTTCCATAGCACACCGATCCTAGAATCCTAGAAGATGATGGCATGGAGTCGCTCTCGGTGCCTGTGAAAAGCGCAGACGAGCTCAGGAGCTGGCCTCGGACCTGGGAGTTCGTGCAGAGCTTAGGACTGGAGGTAACTCTGTCCTTTGGCTCGGCTCAATGATCGAGGACTGGGTGCTCTCCGGAAGGGGATCCCAGGCGGAAGCAGACCAGACTGCCCTGGAGTATCTTGATCCTTCCTGTGCAGGCTGCTGTCTACAACTTGTTTGGGCAGCACTTGGTGCAGAATGCAGTGGAAGGCCAGCATTGTTCCAGTACACCTAGAGCATTTCACAGGCCCGGAACTGACCATCGAACCGTTGCGAGGCTTGCACGGCTCCGTCATTGCATGTGGGCTGCCCGCCCAGAGCTCCTTTGTACTGGCTGTAGCTTGCGCACCTTCTTCTGCGGGCTAGGCCATCGAGCACTGGAAAGAGCCACACCATCTTTGGAGGCCGTCCACAGGAGTGCTGAGAGTTGCCAAGCGATGCGGTGAAGCACTAACGGGAAGATCGACTGCGAAGTCGGATTGAGCGCCCGGTCGCGGAAACTCGTACGCTTTTTCAGAACCGGTTGCAGCAGATTCCAGAGCTGCAGAAATCAGACGCATTCGTTCGAGGAGCAGCAAGGTCTTGTTCCTCGTCTGGCAGAGGGCATATTCAGGGTGCTGCGAGCTCGCGGTGAGGCTTCGTTTTTGACTGCGAAGTTTTCCACAAGAGAGTCAGAGTCTCAATCTGAATTTTTCTGCCTGCCAGAAGCACATCGTTAAGTTTTCGTACCTGGAGCTGTACAACGAGTGAGGGCCTCGGGCGAAGGCGTGCGAAAAAAACGGTGCATAGTCTGCGCCAAGGCGCATTCAAGACCTTCTGCGTCCTGGGAGGGCCAAAGCTCCAGCCTTGGAGGCCCAGAAGCAGAGCGGTTCTGGCACTTCAAAGTAAGAAAACCGAACGGCTGTTGCAAGGAGGTGCACACTATCCGGCCTCGCTGTACTTCCATCTGCACGTAGCTGTCAGAAGCAAAGACTGGATAGGTGCGGCAGCATCCCCGCGTGGGCGTCTTCGTGGGCAGCACTGAGCCAAGTGCTGCTAGTGCAGTCCGTCAGTGTGCATCTCCGTGCCTTGTGACCCCTGAAAACTGCAGCTGGTTCAAGGGACGTGAGTAGTTTGATCCACCGCGCAAGCGTGGGAACGCAATGAGCCATCTGGGCAGGGCATTCCTCGCTCCCGGAACACTGAGCACGCCGGCTGGTGCTTCAATCCAAGCTCCTTGCGGACGGACGGACCGGACGGACCGGACAGGACGCACAGCCGGCCAGTCCGGTGGAGCTTTCCAGTCAGCCATGGCTGGCGCCGTGGCAGCTTCGGCCCTCGTAGCTTTGCAGAAGCTTGGGCTTCGCTCGAGCTCGGGCGTGCAGCGTCGTGCGTTCTCAGCGGCCAAGTCTCTGAGACATCAGCCACTCAAGCAGCGGGCTTCTTTGACTGGTCGCATGGCTGCCACGGTGCTGGCTCCTCCAGGTGAGCTTCTCGGTGTGGCACCAGACGAGAAATACAACGTTCCGGCCGGTGTCCGAGAGAAGCTCGGCAAGGATCTCTTGTTGAACCCCAAGCATCCTCTGGGGATCTTGTGGAGAACGGTTCAGGACTATTTTGCAGAGCAGGATCCGAACTGCAAGTTCTTCGACACTGAAAAGCCGGTTGTGAACACAGTGGACTGCTTTGACAAGTTGCGAGTTCCGCCAGAGCACCCATCTCGATCCCCATCGGACACGTACTATGTGAACAAAGACTATGTCTTGAGAACTCACACTTCTGCGCACCAATGCCAGTTCTTGAGCCAGTATCCCAAAATTACATCCTTCTTGTGTGCCGGCGATGTCTACAGGAGAGATGAGATTGATGCATCGCACTATCCAGCCTTCCACCAGTGTGAAGGGGTCAGGCTCTTTGATGCGGAGAAGGTCTCACGGGAGGAAGTCCTGGAGGATTTGAAGAAGACTCTTGAAGGCTTGGCCGCCCATTTGTTCCAGCTTAAGACAGGGGAAGATACTATGCGATGGCTTGACGAGTATTTCCCCTTTACCGAGCCATCACTGGAACTGGAGATCTTCTATCAGGACGACTGGATGGAGGTGCTGGGATGTGGCGTTCGGCCCTCGGTGTACCAGAGCCGACCCAAGCTGTGTGTCTCACTTTCTCGGGTACTCCCCCTTGGGCAAGGTCATTCACCACGATGTTTGCAGCTCAGTTTCGGCAAGATAGTGCACCTGGTGTTCTGTTGCGGTCAACTTAGCTGTGATTCCGTCAGGTGCTTTGCAGTGCAGATATGAACTGCCCTTTGAGCCTGCTTGTGTGCTGTAGCAGCGGGACTTCGCAGTTGAAGCCTTATGTTAGGATAATTTAGGATATGTTACCGTACATATTCTACGACGACTACCACTTCCAGTACCGTTACGACTACCACTACCACTACTTCACTCCTATGGCTGCTGCTGCTGCTGTTACTGCTACGGCGCCTACTGATGATAATACTACCAGTAACATGTACAACCACAGCAACCACAACAACCACAACAACGACGACGACGACGTCTACTACCACCACTACTACTACTACTACTACTTGCACTTTTTGCTACTGCTACAGCTACTGCTACCGCTACTGCTAGTGCTACTGCTACTGCTGCGGCTACTGCTGCGGCTCCTGCTGCTGCTACTGCCAACAACCAACAACCAACAACCAACAACCAACAACCAACAACCAACAACCAACCACCAACCACCAACCACCAACAAGCAACAACCAACAGCCAACAGCCAACAGCCAACGACCAACAACCAACAGCCCACAACCAACAACCAACCACAAACAGCAAACAAGAAGCACGAAACAGCAGACCATCATGAAGCAAGAAGCAAGAAACAAGACGTAACAAACAGCAAACAGCAGACAGCCGACAATAAACAGCAAGCAGAAAGCAGCAAGCAGCAAGCATCAAACTGCAAACAACAAGCGCTGTCATGCGATGGTTCATACTGCGCACACACACACACACATGTACATACATTGTCTCTCTCCCTCTCTCTCGCTGTCTCTTTCTTTCTTTCTCCATATTTCGCTTAGATTCCTTTTGAAAGCTGCAGACGGACCCAAGGTCTTGCGGAACGCCGGCCTGGACCCGGCGAAGGTCCACGGCTGGGCTTTTGGCCTCGGGCTCGAGCGCCTGGCCATGGTGCCCGTGGCAGCAGCCGGGACCGGGATGGTTTCCTTACTGATAACGCTCCTGGTGCTAGACGCGGTACTGGAGATGATACGGAAGACGCAGGAACCATAATCGTGAAAGTTGCGCAATGACGTGTTGCATCTCTAAACCTCGGCTGACGTACAGTCGGTGGCAGGTGCACCTGGCACTGTGTGCCGTTTGGTGTGCTTTTCTGCAAGGGCCTGTAGCCTGTAGTTGCGATTCGGCCTTGTGGGTTTCCAGCGGCTCTCTAAACGTGTTGTCCAGTAGCACAGACTGAGTCAGCCTTGGCTGACATAAGTATCGAATCACGCAATCGGCTGCTGCAGGATTTAGGATCCGTGCCCTGCGTCGTTTGACCCACTGTGGTCGGTTTGCCAGAGCACCCGTGCCCAAGCCATAGCAACGCCCGTTGAGCCTGTAAAGGCACACGCTCTGTATGGGCCACGCAAGTTTTTCACAAAAACCAATGCTTTTGTTGACGTCGCGTATTGCAACAGCGCAGTTCCGCATCCAACTTTTCCGTTGCCTGAACCCTCGATACATTGCAAAACTATAGTAGTCCTTGGCCCGTCAACGCATCGGGAGGCCAACGGGTCGGGGGGAGGGGGGCACACGCAGGATTAGTACAACGTTTGCATTATGAGAGGAGGCGATGCTCAGATCTCGCTTGTTGCTAGCTTGCATGCATGTGCTGCAAAGTGGGTGCTTATGTAAAGACTAGATGTTCGTATATGTATGTACCAGTGCATGCATGGATGGATGACGGAGGTAGGTAGGTCTAGGTAGGTAGGTAGGTAGGTAGGTAGGTAGGTAGGTAGGTAGGTAGGTAGGTAGGTAGGTAGGTATGCATGCATGCATGCATGCATGATGCATGGTTTCAATAGACAGATAGACAGATAGATAGATAGATAACACAAATGCACAGTCGAGCCTAGCCTGATCTCATCTAAACTAACCGTATCAAGACGAATCGGGACGAATCTAATCTGTCGATCTGTAGTTTGTGGTGTATGTGACCAGCATTCAGGAGGAAAAGCGCATGGTACTGTGGCAGCAGCACAATGCGGAAACATGCGGACATTTAGTGGAAGTGCCCTAATCCCAAGAATCAAGACTCACCACAGCAAAAGCAACAAACTATGGCGAGAGTACTTGACTGAATGCAGCGAACCACGATTTGGACCGCGACATGGGAATCTACTTGATGTCCAAGCCAAGAGCTCGTCTTTGTCAACACATCGCTCTCCCAGGTGCTCTTCGGCATTCCTGACATTCGTCTCTTCTGGTCAGAGGATCCTCGTTTCTCTGAACAGTTTGCCCCGGAGTCCTTTGCCGAGAGACTGGGCCAGCACATGAAAAGCTGGGTCTGTTTCTGTTCGCGTTGTAATGCTTTTGCCGAGACTCAGAAAAATTGCCGAGGAAGACACGATTCAAGCCTTTCTCCAAGTATCCTCCTGTGCTCAAGGCTCGCTCGCCTCGCTGCTTGGGTTCGTTTTCTTATACCCTTTCGTGAGGACATCAGCATGTGGATCCCAGAGAATTTTGCTGATAATGACCTGTTCGAGATGATTCGCGATGAGGGCGGTGACCAGGCTCCCGCGAGAACTTTGATCTGCCTGCGGCAGCTGCGAACGATTTGATCAGGTCGAGAAGGTGGATCTGATGGACGACTTCACGCATCCGAAGACAGGCGTGATTGAATGAAGAAATGCAGCGCGGCTTTATGCGCTCCTGAGCAGGAAAAAGATCAAAGATGTTCCGAGTGACCTGGCGAGACATGTCGCGGACTCTGACGAACGAGGAGGTCAATGCCAAGCACGAGACCGTGCTGGAGCGCCCTCTGCCATCTAAAGTGCAGGGTGCTTCTGGAACCTGTGTAGCTTAGCTTTCTTGAAACATAGGATGTGGTATGCACGTTGTCCGCTTGCCCACAGTGCAGACTCTAAGGTTTGGTCAAAGAGCTCGAGGTTGAGTTGCGGTAGCGCGGTGGCCACACATGCCAAGGAGCAGATCGATTTCTTGTTTGTAGTGACAAGGCTCACAACGGTACTGTAGCTAGCAAGTAGTTATTCGTCGACGCTCTTCTATCCGAGCTGAAGCTGTAGAATGCAAGCAGCAATCAGCACAAGAAAGTGTTGCAACGGATCCACACGCGTCTTATAGCTCAAACTGAGTACACGTGCCATCTGGATAGAAGCACGCAAAGTGGAATTTGTACATCGGAGTTTTCACCCATTGTCAATTTTCGCACCATAAGCAAATTTTCGGTCTCTCGTGGATGCAGCTGTCACACATGCTGCTGCCAAAACTGTTGCGATGGCAGGGGCTGCTAAGTGGCAGAACTCAGTCATTGTATAGCCCAATTTGGAGAGGCAGGCTGGAGTAAAAAGGTGCTCCAAGTTTCCATTGCCTGTTAGTCTGCCGGCCAGCTATCCAACTTTCGATTGTGAGCTGTGCCGAGATCTCTCCTGGAGCGTGGTGTCAAGTGTCGCCGATGTCTTGCGCTTATTGGACTTCGGTCGGTGCCCAAGGCCTGAGGGCGAGGTTTGCGTGCCGCATCATCGGCTGAGTGTTTGCCAAGGTCACAAGATGCGCGCTGTGGCGAGAACCAACATGAACGCGGCCTCTTCGCGCTGATGCCTCGAAAGCCTTTCTCCGTGTCCTGATGTGTCCTGTGTGGCAGAACCGGGACCGGACTCTCGAGATCTCTCGAGGCTCTCACGCTGTGGCGACTTTCCAGGTGGAGCAGCTCGTGCCAGGACGTGCTTTGGAAGACACGAAGCGGAGGCTGCGGCAAGGGGTGATGGAGCATGTCACTGTCAAGTTCAACAGCTTCGAAGAACGGAGAGTTCAGAAACAACCGCCCCTCCAGCTGGCAGCCGCATCGGGCTGTCTCGCAGCGTGGTACTCCAGGCGGGCACAGCTGCAGACGGTCGATCTGGCCGGGGCAGCACGCATGGACCAGATCGGAGACTCGGAGGCTTGGACGGGGCGATGAGAGTGCAAAAGACATGTTAAAAAGGGTTTGGACGCACCGCTACACATCTGATGTGCCCTCCCGTGTTGCCGTCTGGGCTCGTCGCTCCAAGCCCCGGGCAAGAAGGGTGCTGCCGAGAGACGGGCAAGGTCCTTTGATGTGCAGCTGGACTGTCTGCGATGTCTTTCATCGGAGTGACACGCCAACCATGCAGCTCTCGTGACCGGCCACTCGCGGCACATGCGGCACTGGTCAGTGGTGCATTCCTTGTGAGGTCCACCATGGAGAAGTCATCCTCCGAGCCCGTCCTCCCACAGGAGGCGTGCCTTCTTGGAGTGCTGAGCCGTGGTCATGGAAACCCGACTCCATGTGAGTCACCGTCAATAACCCGGTAGTCTGGAAGGTGTGTTGGACCGACCCAGGGTTTCCAACAGTCTAGCTTTTTCAGGGCGCCCTCAAGTACTTCCGTAGGTTGGTTGAATGGAGTCAGAGGAGGCATATGCGCCTGGCCGAGTACCGGTTTATGGCCTTCGCAAGCATCCGGGGTCCCTGAGCCCTGTGGAGGACTATGCGGTGCCCTGTCATGGCAGAGGCCCCTTGCCTCAAGTCTGAAGCCAATGGATTTGCTGGGGCCTGTTGTCGTGAAATGTTCAGAGAGAGAGAAAGAGAGAGTACTCCGTGCATCCGAGTGTAGAGTGTCATTGCCAAAGTTGAGTCCCTACTCAGATTTCCTCTGTAACACGGGGCAAGTCATATGTTGCTCATAAAACATTGCATGTATTATATCCTCCCTGTCTACAGTGAGCAACATTTCGAGGAGGGGGAACCTTGTCCTTGAGAGTAGACATGCATCCTCAGCCGTTATCGTACATTTTACGGCTTTAGCTCACAGGATGCATTATACTCGCACTTCACACCCCTTCTCCCGCATAAGACGTGCAGGTGGGCATTTTGCCCGGGGGTCTTCTTAATCGACCCCAACACAAGACTTGCAGCAAGCAAGCAAGCCCCCCTCTCCCCGCTCTCCCCTCTCCCTCCCTCTCCCTTCCTTTCCTTCCCTCTCTCTCCCTCTCCTCCCTCTCCCTCCTCCCTCCCTCTCCCTCCTCTCCCTTCCTTTCCTTCCCTCTCCCTCCCTCTCCCTTCCTTTCCTTCCCTCTCCCTCCCTCTCCCTCCCTCTCCCTCCCTCTCCCTTCCTTTCCTTCCCTCTCCCTCCCTCTCCC